TGTGCTGCTGCTGGCCACCACCTACATCGCGCATCTTACCCGCAGCCTGCAAGACGACTCCGAGGCGCCGGCAGACCCTAGTCTGGGCGCTTTGCGTGGTGATGGCTACCTGCACCCGGTCAAGGTAGGCAGGCAGGGTGCACAGTGGGGCTGGAACACATTGACCCTGTCTGTCACTCCCTGGCAGGCGCCGCTGACCTCTCACCCCTACCCGAGGGTGAAGGGGAACAGACCAGAAAAGTGACTTAGTGGTAAACCCCTCGCTACCCTAGACTGCTGCTTCAAGTACAGTGGTGGAGGATGTGATTAAAGCCTGAGTGGTTTATGTAGGGGGTCTCACCTGCTGCTTACAGGTTGGCAGCCTAAGGATTTTTGTGTATTTTAAGGCGAGAAGTAGGGGACTTGTTTGCACATCCTTATAATTTGTAGTATCTGAATTACATTTATGATCCTTTGAAAAATTTTAAGTGTTTTTAGCGTACATAATTAAGTTTCCATTGTATTCTTCATGGAATGTTTGAAAGGTTTTACAAATTAAATAGTCATGGAATTAGCTGCTCCTAAATAACCCTAAGAAAACACTGTCTAGAAGTTTTTGATAAAAATAGTAAGAACAAATAAGACCATTCTGCATCCTCAAGGAGTAAAATTTCAGTCGATTCAAACAAAGGTTAAATATTATGGACTAGACAGCCAGTAAGAACATTAGAAAAACTGTCATTTATGTCCTTTTCATAATAGATTAGCATGTTGAATGAATTGATTAAATACTGCACTCATATTCTGAAATGTACAAAGTTAGCCAAAGAATCCATGTTGCATAATTTTTATATAGAGGTAGAATGGTCATTTAATATGGTATATATAGCTATGATATATTACCAATGTTGAAGTAGTCTCTGCATCATCCTTTTCTCCTAGATTTGATTGTTTTGAAACCTTCCATTGATCTGGCTTTCTTTTCAAAATATGATCTTCTCTGTATTTGCTAAACCTAAATTTTCAAATTTTTGGTTTCACTATTCTGAAGTATTTTAACACACACAAATACAAAATCAGGACTTAGCCTTAAGTATATCAGTGTCCAATAAATTATTGGATGATCACTGTTGAAATATGATAAAGCACACTCTAATATTAACTGAACTTACAGCTGGGTGAAGGTTACCAAAATTTGTTTAGCAAATATAATCAACATAATGATAGACTTAAGCCTTTTCAAATATTACATATAAAAAAAGAAATATCATTACTTATAATTATGATAGACCTCCATCCTGTAAAAACTTGTTTTAAAGGACTTTGTATTAGTGTGCATCAGATTGCTATTCAAATATACCACTAATGTAAGTTTCTTTTGACTTGACATTTGCCATATACTCTAAGTTCTTCACATTAAATAGATTTTTATACAAAAAGCATATGTTAAATGCCTCCTTTGTGTGAGATATAATTCAGAATAAGAAATCAAGTTTTCACCTTGGTTTCAATGTTTTCTTTAAATGAATAATGTTAGAAGCATCAATATTAGAATGTAACAATAAGCATAGTAAGCTTTTTTGTATTTGATTCATATACCAAATATTTTGTAGTTATACTATTTTAAGCAAAATTAAATCTCATTTGTCCTCTGAGTCAATTCTTTTGATTTTTAAAGACAACTCTGAACTGCCTGTAACTCCAACACTCTGGGAAGCTGATCCAGGAGAATCCCAAATTTGAGCCCAGCCTTGGTAACCTTGTGAGAAGACTCTATCTCAAAAAAAATTTTTAAAGGTTATGAATGTAGCTCAGTGGGAAGGTCCTAGGTTCAACCCCCAGTACCACAAAACAAAACAAAAAGATAATTCTGGAAGTAATGATAGAAAGCCAGATTATTTCTTTAAAAGGAAATTGATGGTCAATAAGATATTCTAAAATAAAACATCTGAGTTCCTACTATGTATAAAGCACTATTTGAGGACAATGATTACAATTATGAGTTAAGAGTAAGTACCTTCCCTAAATGAACATACTACAGAGATGAAACAAAAATACTGTTTAAGCAACAGTATAATATTGTAAGGTAAAAATGTTACATTTGCCCTAAAAGAGCTATAACTCTGGGAAATGAAGGTTCAAAGGAAAGAGATTTTACATACATAATTAAAACTCCTATTAACACATTATTTTACAGACACTGAAAAAATGTTTAATGCAAAAGGAATAAAAATAATCATTTTAAATTTTGATTAACAAAGGATTCATTGTAAACTGTTATAGCCCTTAGTAGGTGTTCTAAAATGACTTTATTTTCATAGTGCTATTAAGTCTTACTCTGATAACAAAGTTCTGTTAAATATTTCATTGCTGTGATTTTGAATCATCAGTACTTATTACCAATATTATTAGCATGTTAAAACTGTTGGAGACTTACATTAAGAGTATATCAAATGAGAGGCTGAGGATGTTGCTCAGTGGTTGACTTTATGCTTAGCATTTATGAGGCCAGTGTTATATCCCTAGCACCAAAAAAGAAACACACACACACACACACACACAAAAACTGCCTAAGAGACTGGGTTCCTGGGGCATGGCTTAACCTTATTTTTATACCTTTGGGGAACTAGTGATTTTGATCAGGACCAGTGGCCCAGAGGGCAGTGATTGTCCAGGAGAAAGTATATTTCAGAACTTGACACTGGGAGAAAAGCACAGATGACTCTGTTAATTGCCACACCACTGAAGAATCATTCTGCATCATTTTTATAAAAATTTTTAAATTAAATGCAGGATTTTGTTATTTTTGGGTCATTTTACTCTCCCAGGAGTACATATTTAAGATCTTTAGTTCAAATTAACTTTGTGTGTTTGCTAGATTTTTCTCAGCTTAATGAAACTACATGGTTTTAAATATACCTTAGTAGAGAAAGGAAAGTTCAGTGTTGTGCTGATCTACACAATGCTAAACAATTGAAAATACAATTAAATCAGTCAGGTTTTTTTTTATCATCTTGGTTACATGTAATCTAACCAGTGTTTTATTTACATTTTCATTCCTGATGCTTAAAACTGTTTATGTCTCTATATTAAGTTGAATAAGATCATTACAGACCTTTTTGAAAATCAAGAACACAAAGTTCTTAAAAAGGAAAGTTTGATTATTTAATAAGTCCATAGAAAGTGAGGCATAAGTCCACATACACATTTTATGTTTGCTCATGAATTCCTTATTTCTATCAAGGATGTAACGACCAAATGCCTTCATTTGTCTCCAAACTTCGTTGAATAATTTAGAGCAATTTTCATTTCAACACAGTAGGACCTAGGTAGCATACATGAGAACCACCCGGGAAGCATTCAGTAATATTTTTATTTATATTTAGGTGTATGTATTTAATTCACATAATTCTCAAATTACATTTAATATTTGAGCAAGAAATTCTTATGCTTATAAAAATGAAGCAAGGGGCTGGGGATTTAGCTCAGTGGTGCTGCCACCTGCCTCACAAGCGTAAGGTCCTGAGTTTGATCCCCAGTACCCCCCCCCAAAAAAAAGAAGCAGGGTATAATGTTGAGAAACACTGGTTTATCACATCGCCAAAAATCGTGTACTTTGACATTGATAATTTCTCCCCTATACTATTCATCATACTATTAGTCTGTTCAGGCTGCCACAACAAAATACCACAGACTGGATGACTTAACGACAAAAATTTATATTCTCATAAAATGGAAACTAAGAAAATTTGAGATCAAAGTGCTTTCAGGCTTTGGTTCCTGGCAAGGGCCCTCTTCCTGGCTTGCAGATGGCCCACTTTTTGCCAGGTTCTCCCATCGCATCTCCCTGCTGGTGCATGCACACTAAGGAAGGGGGAGGAGGAGAGAGACGGAGTGAAAGGGAGGCAGGGACAGAGACCAATTCACCTGTCTTTCTCTTCCAAGTCCACCGATCTGGAATGGCCTAATCTAATTCTGATTACTTCCCAGTTAATCACTTTAGGGTCTAATACCTCAGGACATGCATTTTGGGAAAATACAGACATTTAGGCCCTAATACCATAACACTGGGATCTTTAGTAAAATATAAGACTTAGGGCTGGGAGGGCCGGGGATTTAGCTCAATGGTTTCGCTGCCTGCTGCGCAAGTGCAAGGACCCGAGTTCGATCCCAGGTACCAAAAAACAAAACAAAACAAAAAAGCCTTAGGGCTGGGAAAGTGGCTCAGTGGCACAGTGCCTGCCTGGCAAGCGCAAGGTCCTGAGTTCAATCTCTGATACCACACACACACACAAAAAACCCCACAAGACTTAAATCTGATCCAACAATGCCAGATCCTGACATAGCAGATGAGCCTCAGGCCAGTTTCTAAAAACACTTCAGTTTAGTAGCCTGTGCTAGGACAAAACCAGAGAATATTGTACATAAGAATGCACATTTGTGATTTTTAAAAAAGACTCAAATTAATCTGCAAAAATCGTAGCACAGTGTCAATCTTACTACTGTAGCAAGCACAGCACACAAGGTTTTTTTAATAGAGAGACTAGCAGTAAACTATTTTAAATTTCAAGTTACACAAATCTTATATTTTATGTGCATTTAAAATATGTGTTCTCAGCCAGAGTAATCTGAATTTAGGACTCTAAATAATCTGAGCTACGTGGCAGTAAAGTCACCTATCACACCTAGAGACATTAAAAGAAGATTGTTGTTGGATGCCACAGAACAAAACCTTTCCAGTTCTTATCACATACCTGCTTATTATTCTTTTTTGTTAGTTTTTAACTGACATATAAAAGTTATAAGTACTTACGGGGTAAAATGAGATATTTCACATGTATGTATTATATAATTTTCAAATCAAGGTAAGCCTGTTTATCTCTTCAAATATTTATCATTTCTTTATGGTGAAAACATTCAAAATCTTTTCTTCTGGCTTTTTTGAAATTTAAAGTATATTATTATCTATAATCACCGTACAGTGCAGGAGAACACCAGAATTTAAACACATGAAATGCTTCATGAGTTTGCATGTCATCTCTGCCCAGGGACCATGGCAATCTTCTCTGTATCATTTCAATTTTATATAACTTTATGTATAGTATATAATTGAGCCCTCTTTCTTTTTAGCTATATTTTACATTTAATTATGTTTTAGATTTAACAAAACATTGTGAATACATACATTTTTCTACACTTCAACTATATTTTCCATGACTTCTTCCAGTTCTTATTTATATGCACACATTTTTAATTATAACAAAGTCAATATATTGTTACTTTTATTGTTAGCATTAATGAACTTTTTCATGCTGTCCCTTAAAATTCCTAATTATAATTGTTACTAGTTATATGATATTGCAGTTTCATTGAGGTATTGGAATTTTTAATATTACAGGCATATGTTATGTATGTTATAGATAATTTTGGTTCTCATTTAAATATTCTTCTTTCAGAAATGGCCCATGCGCTCAAGATTATACATCGGTGCTACTGGTCAGTTTCTGAAGCATTCTGTCTCTGGAGAAAAAGCAAATCATGACAGCACTCCAACAGACTCACAGCTTTAGGCCGCCTCCTGATGGGAGCTGGTAGAAGTGGTGGTTATTGTTTTTATGCACTATGAAATAATTCTATATTTATTACATCAGACATTAAAAAACATCACTTCTGAAAGTTTATATTGTAATGTATAGTTAAATTGTTCAGATTTATCTGCCTGAAACATGAAATGAGTCTTGTATAAAACACACTGCTTATCTGTTCATTAGCTCACTGCTAATACAGTGCAAGAGAAACTATTAGAAAAAAGAAAAGACACAAAAGCAAACTATACACACGCACACACACATAATCTCCAGAGAATGCACACATTTTCTGTAGTGTATTATTAGAGATTTAAAAGCCAATATCTGTCAGTACAGTCTTTCTAGTATGTGTTTATAATATACCAGTGTTCCATTTTTGTGAAAACCAGTTGTCTTTAGTTGGTCTAAGAAGCCATTTCAGTTGGAAGATGCAAGATCATTTATTCAGTTCTTCTATCTATATATGTGTGAATAACTGTTGCAGTAACTTCTATAACAAGTTATTTTTCCTTCCTAGAAAACTCGGAGTATTAGAAATAGTTTGCTCCTAAAGACAAGGCATGTTGCCTTTCTAGAAGTTCAGCCAATATTAAGAGATGACATACAAGCTTCCAGTTTGTTGGAGGTACTAGGAATATATACAGCCAGTATAAATAGTAGTCCAGGAGTCACTGGGCTGCAGGGTTTGTCAGCCTTCCTCCTGGTCACACCATATCCACCCCATCCTCCTTCAGGTTCTAAGCTAGATGAACAGATTTAGCTGTAACCACCTTGTAAAGACTGAAATTTGCATGACTATTTGGGTCCTTGAGTAAATTTCCTTGATCATCTTCAGCCAGTGATGATGTCAGGCTCCTTTTTTCCATGTCAGCTGTTCACCAGGGCTACCTCTTTGGTCATTATGAAATGGGGAAAATCCCGTCTAATTTTGAAATTCTGGCACTGATCTGCACTTTGAGGGTGTCTAAAGACCCCTCGGTTTTCCTGAAATACATTCAGAACTGAGCAGACACCCCTGAATCTTCACCAGTAGACCTCTCCCACTGTACTACACACCATTAAGTGCCCAGGAAGTAACAGTTGTGATTACACCACTGGTTTCAATTTTCAACAGGAGCCTGATGAAAAATCCTGTAAAATAGTAAAGCTTTGCCTTTGGCAATACTTTTAAATTTCTCTTCTTGTCTGGTTGCAAATGTTTTAGTGCCAAAGAAATGTTATTTCTGTCGTAGATGTTTTAAGCATTTTATTAAATTGCTAAATATGCTAACAGCTTTAGTAAATTGGAAGATCTTAGAGAAATTGCATATGGTCAGAGCCATGAATAAAGATGTTTATCAGGGAACACATGGAACCCCAAAACAATGGAGTACAGCAGAGATACCTGGAAAAATATCAACATCAATTACCTCTTTGCTGACTTAGATTCCCTTTTATCATTTCTTGCTTTTCTTTTCAATCCCTACTATACTTTCCAACATAAAGTTAATTTATTTTTCAACCCAGTTTTAAAGTTGTATTTTCTTTTCACCTCAGTTTTCTTCCAGCTTTTGGCAGGGAAATGAAGTAAAAGATCATTTGAAATCAAGAACTATCACTCAGTTGATTCAGAGTCCATGACCTTGTTTTGGCTCATCGCCAATAAATTGTAAGTTTTATTATTTTAGTGTAAATATTCTTAAAATGTGACCAATAAAAAGATTTCTACACATTAATATGTAACACAAACATGTATATTTAAGTATTTGTGAATATATTTATCTACTCGCTTAACATTAAAAGAAATAAAAATTACAATAAGATTTAGATTCAGCCATTCACTATTATGTTATCGGCATAAGAGGTGCTGAACAGAGTTTATTTTAAGGAATGAAATAAAAACTTCTTTGAAGTTACCTCAAATAGGCCTATAAACATTAAATTTGATGTAGGAATTTCAGAAAAAAAAATGATTTTCTTCTTAATAATGCTGATCTATTAGTTTGGCACCAGGTTTTACAGCATTTAATTGGGGGAGAGGGTGAAAGTTGCTTTTGTTGAATTAATAGACTTTCCTGAATCATTCTGTTAGTAGAGCTTTGCCATTGATGATACTACTTTTTATTTCTACTTGTCCAGTTACAAATGTTTTAGTGTCAATGAAGCATATTTCTGTCATAGATTTTCATAACATTTTATTAAATTGCTGAATATGCTAACAGCTGTTAGTACTTTAAAAGATTGACGAGAAGTTCCAGTTTTCACAGAAAGGTTCAAAGAGCATGCTGTTATAATTAATGATGCATGATCAACATAAAGGGTACTGTTAAAATAAAGCACTAATTTAAAAATTAATTTAGTCTGTTAAATCTACGTTTGTCTCTAGATATTTAATCAACACTAATGGTATGTTTGAAAATCAATCTAGAGGATAGATACCTACATAGTGTTAACTTCTTCACCAAGCTTCCTTACTAGAGTATATGTTAGTATTGGAGAGGGGATATGCCTGTATTTGGACACAGTATTACCCAACAATCTGCAGGGAAAAGCTTCAGTTAAACTTCTTTCAGTTCATCCCAGTGATATGACTCATTTAAAATTCTTTTATAATAAATTTGGGGGCTAGAGAAATGCCTTATTTAGAGGCATAACTAGTTCTAGCACTTTTAAATATTTTTTTCTGATTATGAAAATATGTGTAGTACAGTTTATTATATGCCAGTTATGCATCAAAAATACATTAAAATGCATATATACACTTGTTTTAAAAATTTAAACTTAACAAGGGGCCAGGGATTTAGCTCAGTAGAGCCGCCACCTGCCTTGCAAGTGCAAGGTCCTGAGTACAATCCCTGGTACCAAAAAAAAAAAAAAATTTAAGCTTAACAAAAAAAGAAAAATGTGGAAACTAAAAGTCCTGTTGAGGTGAATGTTTGGAATGAAGTAAAAGGTGAGAATTATCAATTCCACATTACAGTACTTGGTAATGAAGAATGGTTTTGCATCTTTATAAGACTTTCTTTAAACCAAGTTTTTCCAATCTGTAGAGTTATAGACAATCTAAACAGTGACTTTCTTCTCTATTCATAGAGTCTTTATTTAAACTTAGAAGAAATTGTGCAAAAAAAAAGGAAAATATGCTGATTCACCCTACTGAAATGTATAGTAATTACTTTTGTTGAAATTGCTTCTTAGGTTAAGTTATTCGTTAATTTCTCTTTGTCTCAAAGGGCCTTATTTTATATTCATGAAAGCAGCCAACCACTTACTTTCAATTAAAGAGAATATTCAGGCTCTAATAAGTTCTTTTTTAGCGGATAGAGCAAGGTGATTTTACATATATCTTCCAGCACATTATTTAATCTTTTTTCTTTAGGCTTCAGTGTATCACGGTGTGATTCTGAGAAAATAATCCCATACAGACAAAAATCTCTGCAGTGGCCACACCAAATCTATGCATAAATTGTATCTATCATAGTGATAAGACAAATTGCCTGTTAGCTCTATGTAAAATTGTATTTCTGCTCTCCTTAGCTGGCAAGGAGAAGAAATTATAAATCAAACAGACTGCTTCTAATCCAAATTTATATATTAGATATTTTAAGAGTGGCTTAATATAAATGTGCATCTTTTCTATCTGCATTATACATTAATCATATATTTTATTTGAAAAGCTGTGACCTTTGACTCTTAGCAATGACAGATGTTGCTTCAATTTGGTGACAAATTTATGTTTGGTTAGTTGTTTTTAAATCACTGCTGGAGGATTTCCAGCGATTTCCCAGGTGACTTATTTATAACTATCATGTACTATTGCTGTCTTTCTCCAAGATGGACACTCGAATTGTTTGTTTGTTTTTTTTCTTTTCCTTTTTTTGGTACCAGTGATTGAACTCGGGTCCTTGCGCTTGCAAAGCAGGTGGCGAAACCACTGAGCTAAATCCCCAGCCCTGTTATTTTTTTTCTTATAACTGAAAAGATACCCAAGAGCTATGATTCCAAATTTTAAATGGAGTATTCAGGAGAAATATTATAAAATTATATACCTCAAAATTAGTATGTACAGTAGACCCTCAAGTTACGACCGACCTGACATTTGAACAACTTGGGTTAATAAGGTTAATGGAAGATTCATCTGCCTCTTGTTATCTATAGCGTGTACCCAGGTAAACATCCAGATCTCAGTTGTATTGACTTACAACCAACTTGAGCTAGGACCAGCCCTCAGGAACAGATCAAGTTCACAAGTCAAGTGTCCACTGTACTTTTATTACAACTGGTAGCTGGTGGCCTTATATATTTGACTGTTGTACTGAAAAATAAATGTCCTTTAAATTCTGTAGATTTGCTTCCTGTGGACTATAAGCACAATACAGATGGAACTGCAGGTCAGCTGGGAATGAGGGACATTAATATTTTGCCTAACTATATAAACCTTGGAAGGGTTTCCCTTCCTATGTTTACACAATTCTTAGTTTCAACTTATAAGAGAAACCAATTCAGTGAAATATACCTCAGTCACTAAAACACTTTCATTATAAATTAGACCACAGTATTTAGCTGTCAGAAGTTTTCAAATTACAAACTGGAGAATAATCTTAATTATCAGCTTAAAGATTATGTCAGTAGTCATTTCCTGTGCACATGGATGCTACTCAAGAAACTCACCCATTCCTGCCCTCTCGGGACCAGAAAGTATGTCCAGGGAGTGAACTTTCACCACTTCTCTCCATTTTTATGGCCATTGGAAACTGGGGGCTGTTTCAAACTATGTGACCTCCGAATAGCAATTGATTTTAAAATGTTTGTCTTCAAATAAATTCTCTAATCACATGATAAAAAATTTGAAATGTGTGGTATTTTAAGCCGTGTGTGTGTGTGTGTGTGTGTGTGTGTGTGTGTGTGTGTGTTACTGGGGGATGAACCCAGGCCTTTTAGGGTAAGCTACATCACATTCCTTTTTTGTTTTTATTTTCAGACAGGGTCTTTCTAAGTCACTAACTTGCCCGGACTGGGCTTGAATTTATGATCATCTTGCCTCAGCCTCCCAGAGTGCTGGGATTACAGGCGTGGACCACCATGCCCAGTTTAATAATTCTTCGTGCAGATAGGTATATCATGTGGATCAAAAAATTTTAAATTATATTTAAAAAGAAAAAACAAGCCTGAGCAATGTTGTTCCTACTCTGTGTGGCACATTTGCACCACTTTCTACTGTAAGCCTCTATACCAGATCCATCTTGAAACGGAGACTACAGCCGAGTAAAAACAGGTTTGTAATGGCTGGACAAGGGGAGCTGAGAGAAGAGGGCGGGGAAGCTACTGAAAGACCCTTCTTTCAGAAAGAGAAGGCCAGTTCTACCAGAGTCCATTCAGGTTATAGGTGTGACTATATTCTATGAGTACACACCAGAAAGTACCCCAAAGAGGAACACATGACCACAGGACCAGACCAAAAGAAGAATCTAAACCTCCTAATGCTGGCTGTGTTCTTCAGTCTGATAGGCCCCGAGAGCTGCCTCACCTAGTGACAAGTGCTCCTAGTTTCCTCTCCAACCCAGACACTCAGTGGCTAGCAGATAGTGGCAATGGAAGTGGCTTAACCTAACACACAAAACCTCCTTCATCTTAAATAATGACTTAGTCTCTCTGCTTCCCCCCAAGCTGGTCTCTCTGCTTCCTTCGAGGCTATGCCAGCCTGATCCAGACCTGTAGCCACAGAGGATGCTCTGTTTGCTTCTCAGAGAAACTCTTCCCTCACTGAAAAGAAACAGCTTCCTGCAGGAGGAACAGAGAGTATCCTTCAGTGGCTCGGGACTGTTACTGAAGATCCAGGTTTAACCAAAGTTGAGGAAAGGAAGGAGGGGTAGGCAAGATAGAGAAAAGAAGAAACTGATTCTAGAAAGAAGCCTAGATTCCACTTCTTTCTAGGGGATGAGTTAGGGAGCCTCACGGTTTTTGTTTGGATTTTTTTGTTTGTTTTTGTTTTGTTTTTTTAGTAAATAGCCTTAGGGAATGCAGCAGTTTACTGAGGAAGGCCAGATTGTATATTCTTGGCTACTACAAGGTAGCCCTTAGCATTCTTTATTCATTGAATTAAGGACCTCTGCTTAAAGCCATTCTTCCTAGAGCAAAGTTATTGTATGCCTTTGAAAATGTAAAACTTACTTTCAAAATCTCTGTCAAGATAATAGACTTAAATTTCGGACTTTATTAAGATGGAACATGAATTTCTAAATACATACACACTTTTTATTTTTGGACCGAGGATCGAACTCGACCTTGCCCTTGCAAGGCAGGCGGTGGTACCACTGAGCTAAATATCTGACCCTATCTACACTTTATGTAAGAAAGACTGGAGGTCTGTGAGTCTGACTCACAGTGGTAACCAGGAAGGACAGTGGTCAGGCCAACATGCCCCAAATTGAGAAAGGCCCCAGTGCGGACCTCATCTGTGCTGACATCTGCTCTGGGTGGAGTGGAGGAGGGGCAGGAAGGACTTGGGAACCAAGGCTGAGCTCACCATCCGTCTCTGATCCCCTCAAAAGCCCTGGATTCAGCCCTGAGTCTCAATTTGGGAAGATGTGAGATGCAAATGCTGAAGGAGGAGCCTGGGGAGCATGATGGCTTTGGGGAAGAAAGTGCAGAGATTACTCAGGCTAGGATGCTGGAATGGGTGGGGGACTGTGGAGGATAAAAGCAAGACTTGGGACCTCAGCAGGATGGCAGTGGTGGCAAGTGGTTGCCAGCACTAACCTGAGGGACCAGGTGCTCAGGTCACAGACGTACCTTGCCAGAGTCCAGTCTGGACATAGAATCCTGTGTGATCTCCCTCCTTTTACCTCCATTGGAAACACAACCTTCCCCTAGAGCCATCTAAGAATTGGAGGGAAAGGGCAGATAGCTCACTGACAGGGGAAACCAACCCTGATAGTTTCTTTTACTTCACTGTATATGGGACAGTGACTAATATTAGAAGAGACCTATTTGGCAGGTTGTGTTCCTCTTCAAGACGGAATTCTAGAGAATATGATACAGGAGCACATGAAGAAAGTTACATTATTATTCTCACATTTGGGTTGTGGTGTGGACATTTTTACCCAATTATAAGGCAGAGATGGACTATGCCTTGACAGTTTACAGCCTAATTGCTCAGTATTCCATTGTATTTAGCCTTATAGATTTGAACACACCTAAATGATTTTATGATTCTGAGAACCTTTTCAAATACACTAGGAAAACTCAGAGTCTAAGAAACTGGCTCAGGGTTGTCCAGCTAGTCAGGGTAGTCTGTATTGAGACCCAGGCAGACTGGTGCAGTCTGCCTCTGGTTCCTACTCTGTTAGCTACCCTGGCCTGATATTTGGGGCACTTGAGCTTGTACCACCGGCCTAGTTGGAAAGCATTCTTTGCTGCAGGCTTCTCACCATGGTAAGCACTTGGCATAGTGATTGCCCATAATAAATTAATGTCCCTTCCCTTTTTCCCCTCTTCGCTCATTTCTTGTAAAATTATAGTGTACACAGGCAGTCCAGGACAAGTCAGGCATGTCTTCTCTGGCTAATTACCCCTATTAGGTGAACAAAGATGGCAAGAAACTCTCTCTCTCTCTCTCTCTCTCTCTCTCTCTCTCTCTCTCTCTCACACACACACACACACACACACACACACACACACACACCACAAGATGTCGTAAAGAAAAATACAGGTATTTTTTATTACATAAAAATAAACTCATCTCTGGGAGGCTGAGGCAGAAGGATCATGAGTTTGAGCTCAGCCCAGGCAACCTAATAATTTAGCAAGATCTGTCGCAAAAATAAAATATGGGCTGGGAATGTAGCTCAGTTGAAAGGACTTGCGTTCAATACTGGTACTAGAAAACAACAACAAAAACCATCATAAACAAAAAACATAAAACAAAAAATCCAAGCTGAGCACAGTAGACTACGTGCCTGTAGTTCCAATGACTTGGGAGGCTGAGCCAGGAGGATTGCTTGAGACCAGGTATTTGAGGCTAGCCTGGGCAACACAGCAAGACCCTGCCTCTAAAAAAAAGTAACAAGGGCCGGGGATTTAGCTCAGTGGTTTCGCCGCCTGCTGCGTAAGCGCAAGGACCCAAGTTCGATCCCCGGAACCAAACAAAAAAACAAAAAACCCAAAAAAAAACCCTCCCCATTATTGGGAAAGAAGAGGAAATGAGGACTGCTGTACTGTTGGAATGTAAGTTGGCTTAAATGCAATTTGGCAATATTCCTTGATATTTTAAGTGTACACATTATGACTTTACAATTCCATGTTAAAGGACTTCCCTAAAGGTTTGTGTATACTCACATTCACAAATGTATGTAAGAATAATTATTGCAGATATTCATATTTCACCTTATAATTTGCAGCATAACATTTCTCCTATCAGTATTAACTGCTCTCAAGTAACCTATGAAAAATTTAAACCTGAAGAGGCAACATACAGTAATACGTATTTGTCTCTTAAATAAATTAGGACTTTATCTTCTGTAAAGAGATAGTCCAGGAGTGATAAGATGTTTTTATAGAGTTATCAGGGTCCAAGATTTCTACTTATTTCTCATTGGCCAGGACTGGGTTACAGGCCATTCATATATGTAGACTTACAGAATCATGGGATGTATTAACTTTCTATTATTGTAACAAAATATCTGAGGTAATCAACTTAAAACGAGGAAAGGTTTATTTTGGCTCACTATTTTGGAGCTTTCAGTCCATGGTTGGTCGACCCACTGTTTTTGATCTTGTGGCAAGGCAGCAGATCACAGTGGGAGTGTGTGTTGGATAAAGCTGTTCACCTCATGGAGGTCAAAGAGAGAGAGAGGAAGGCCAGGATGCCAGTATTTGCTTCAAGTGATATCCCCTCTTTGACCAAAAGACTTTCAACCAGGATCCACCTCTTAAAGGTTCCACCACCTCCCAATAAATAGCATGAGTTGAAGGTAACTCAGAGACAACTTCCAAAGTCATTCCATGGAACTGGGCTACCAAGGCAGCTCAGACTTCTACCATGACCTGAACTCTGTCACTTAGAAAGCTGCCCCTACAGTGGCTGACTC